TATAGTTGTTAGTTAGAGATTTGTTAGTTACTTGTTGTGCAAGGAACAACTACATATGCACCTCTTGTATTGTGACCATTTGAAATGGTAAAAATACATCTTCATTCTCTTCCTCTCAATTTCGCCTCTTTCTTCAATTTATGCTAATCATAGATACAAAGTGTGTCAAACTCATCGGAGTAAAGGTTATCAAAAGGTAGAAATTCAAATAGACACGAATGACATTAAAGATGTGTTTTTACCAGAAATTAACAAGTGCGGAGTAGGCTTGGCTCTGATTCGACAAATTCGTAAGGAATTAAGATAGATTAGGGATGTTAGAGTGGTGAACGTGTATTGTGAAGCCAACCAATATGCTTATAGTCTTGCAAAGCTTTGAGTTATGCATAATAGAGATCTTAAGAATTATGATAGTTGTCCTTAAAAAAAATTGAATTTATATATAACTGATTCTCTTGGCTAATCCTCTCTAAAAGGATAGTCTTTATAGTTTCTTTGAATTTTGGTCCATCTTATTAAAAAAAAATAGTGTTGAAACTTGAGTTTTGTTCCAACAAATATCAATATCATTATTATCACAATCTAAAATATCATTAATTTTCTAATGAGATGGATAATTAAGGGTGGACAAATTTGAACCAACCGATTGAAACCGACCGATTCATTGTCTTTTTTGTACAAATGAGTTAGGTCGGGTCGGATGTCGAGTTGATACGGTTGTTTAATTTGAATAGGATAGGATTGCTTCGGTCGGGCTCAGATACTTTTTTTGAATCCGACGAAAACCGAAACAAACCAAAATTAATTAATATATATTTTATTTGTTTTTATTACTATATGACTAACTCAGAGTTTTATAATATTAGGATATTATTATTTTATAATTTAACGATGACATTGTGTACTTTCAAAAATACAATACATGCATGAAATATAAAATTTTGAGTATTATTTAATTTATGATTTAAAGTATGATAATGATCAAAATTAATGTCAAATAATATTAAAAATATTATTCTGTAATAATAGTTTTCTTTTAATATGATAAAAAGAAATTGTTCTGTTCTATAAATTGATATTTTTTATAGAAAATTTAAAAAAGATAGCCATTTTTAGAGGATTATTTTTAAAAATATTAAATTGTCAAACCGACTTAACGGAATTTGACGAAAGCCGAAATTGGATCATAAGCATAAAATTGTGATTTATGTCGGATTTAAATTTTAAGTCTAAAACTGACCGATTCTCTACCACAATCAAACATCTTTCTTATTAAACATTTATTTCTCAAATACTAAAGATCTTTTTCTTAAAGGTTGTCTTTATGAATCAAAATTATTACAGAGAGGTTATGTATATACGAGATACAGATGAATAGAAATAGAATTGGTTTCATTTGATTGTGCGTTCACCCCTCAAATAATATTAAAAATATTATTCCGTAATAATAGTTTTCTTTTAATATAATAAAAAGAAATTGTTTTATTCTATAAATTGATATTTTTTATAAAAAAATTTAAAAAAATAGTCATTTTTAGAGAATTATTTTTAAAAATATTAAATTGTCAAACCGACTTAACCGAATTTGACGAAAGCCGAAATTGGATCACAATCAAACATCTTTCATATTAAATAAATAAAGATTGATTTCTTAAATATTCTACGAGATTAGAAAAAGAATTGATTTCATTTTCATTTGATTGTAACGCGAAAACATTATTGCAAAAATGTACGTAATAGCCAACGAAGGGTTTGACAGAGAGATCAGTGTTGGCCCAAGCAACTGGAATCACCTCCACTTATTGAGAGCGCTGCTCTATAAAGCCAACGTTAACCTGACCAATTCAGGTCAATACACCCTAAGCCTACAGTCCGAATTATTTCAAAACCTACTTAAGCCTTATTATGTCAGGATCATGCTGAGTTCTTATTATGTCAGGATCATGCTGAGTTCTTTGCTCTTAAATGATATATGTATGATTTGAATCACTCTAGATATAGATTTTCCAAATCTTTATCTAAGTTCTTCATATATTAACAAACAAACTCTAGACATAGATTTGAGAGTTAATATTTGCTTTGTATATCAATCTTTATGTTTATTATTTCGATTGTTGTCTTGAGAAATCATCTAGCGATTGAAACAATAATACTCACGAAACCGCTTTAGACATAAACGAAATTGAGAGGATACGCGATTGTATTGATCTAAACCAAGCTCACATGTTTGATTAATCGGATATGTATGAAATGGGTTAATGAAATCTAATCTTGACATGCTTTTCTTAAAACAAACATCTTTCTATAATTTACCCTTTGCTACCAAAACAAGTGGAAACATATGTTACCAAATCAAAACTCTTTGAAAACCTTTCTTAAAATCTCATAAATTGTAGAACGACATGTGATATCAAAACAATCCATGTGGATATGATAAAACAATTCACCTAACTAACAGCTAGTGTGTATAGTTGTTAGTTAGAGATTTGTTAGTTACTTGTTGTGCAAGGAACAACTACATATGCACCTCTTGTATTGTGACCATTTGAAATGGTAAAAATACATCTTCATTCTCTTCCTCTCAATTTCGCCTCTTTCTTCAATTTATGCTAATCATAGATACAAAGTGTGTCAAACTCATCGGAGTAAAGGTTATCAAAAGGTAGAAATTCAAATAGACACGAATGACATTAAAGATGTGTTTTTACCAGAAATTAACAAGTGCGGAGTAGGCTTGGCTCTGATTCGACAAATTCGTAAGGAATTAAGATAGATTAGGGATGTTAGAGTGGTGAACGTGTATTGTGAAGCCAACCAATATGCTTATAGTCTTGCAAAGCTTTGAGTTATGCATAATAGAGATCTTAAGAATTATGATAGTTGTCCTTAAAAAAAATTGAATTTATATATAACTGATTCTCTTGGCTAATCCTCTCTAAAAGGATAGTCTTTATAGTTTCTTTGAATTTTGGTCCATCTTATTAAAAAAAAATAGTGTTGAAACTTGAGTTTTGTTCCAACAAATATCAATATCATTATTATCACAATCTAAAATATCATTAATTTTCTAATGAGATGGATAATTAAGGGTGGACAAATTTGAACCAACCGATTGAAACCGACCGATTCATTGTCTTTTTTGTACAAATGAGTTAGGTCGGGTCGGATGTCGAGTTGATACGGTTGTTTAATTTGAATAGGATAGGATTGCTTCGGTCGGGCTCAGATACTTTTTTTGAATCCGACGAAAACCGAAACAAACCAAAATTAATTAATATATATTTTATTTGTTTTTATTACTATATGACTAACTCAGAGTTTTATAATATTAGGATATTATTATTTTATAATTTAACGATGACATTGTGTACTTTCAAAAATACAATACATGCATGAAATATAAAATTTTGAGTATTATTTAATTTATGATTTAAAGTATGATAATGATCAAAATTAATGTCAAATAATATTAAAAATATTATTCTGTAATAATAGTTTTCTTTTAATATGATAAAAAGAAATTGTTCTATTCTATAAATTGATATTTTTTATAGAAAATTTAAAAAAGATAGCCATTTTTAGAGGATTATTTTTAAAAATATTAAATTGTCAAACCGACTTAACGGAATTTGACGAAAGCCGAAATTGGATCATAAGCATAAAATTGTGATTTATGTCGGATTTAAATTTTAAGTCTAAAACTGACCGATTCTCTACCACAATCAAACATCTTTCTTATTAAACATTCATTTCTCAAATACTAAAGATCTTTTTCTTAAAGGTTGTCTTTATGAATCAAAATTATTACAGAGAGGTTATGTATATACGAGATACAGATGAATAGAAATAGAATTGGTTTCATTTGATTGTGCGTTCACCCCTCAAATAATATTAAAAATATTATTCCGTAATAATAGTTTTCTTTTAATATAATAAAAAGAAATTGTTTTATTCTATAAATTGATATTTTTTATAAAAAAATTTAAAAAAATAGTCATTTTTAGAGAATTATTTTTAAAAATATTAAATTGTCAAACCGACTTAACCGAATTTGACGAAAGCCGAAATTGGATCACAATCAAACATCTTTCATATTAAATAAATAAAGATTGATTTCTTAAATATTCTACGAGATTAGAAAAAGAATTGATTTCATTTTCATTTGATTGTAACGCGAAAACATTATTGCAAAAATGTACGTAATAGCCAACGAAGGGTTTGACAGAGAGATCAGTGTTGGCCCAAGCAACTGGAATCACCTCCACTTATTGAGAGCGCTGCTCTATAAAGCCAACGTTAACCTGACCAATTCAGGTCAATACACCCTAAGCCTACAGTCCGAATTATTTCAAAACCTACTTAGGGCTCTCTCTATAACGCTCCCTCGACCAAACTGACTTCACTCTCAATCCAATCATGGATAGGTCCCTACATTTTAATACCCCCACTTGGGTCACAGGCATGCGTTACCATACCCGGTGCTTCAAGTTTCCTCACTGCTAGTCTATAACCCCTTACAAACTTTTTAGATTAATCGATGTGGAACTTGTATTGCATTTTGTCCTATGTGAATAGGTGACTGACACGTCACACAATAGAGACTTTATCAGTAAGTAGGAAATTTACAGGAGATAAATTGAGGAAACAAATTCCATATTTAAATACTTCAGCTTTAGAAACTAATTTGACAATTGAAATAATTTATAAAGAACTTTTTTATCTCGGAACATATTTAGAATACAACTTACTACTATAAACCTAACGCAAAACTCCCAACTTAATTGGCAACAACAACAATAAATGTGCTTCCCTTATGGATAGCATTTATCAACCGAATGAAAACTTATCTAATTAATTTTAATTTTGTAGCAACACAATTTAATTACATCAATCCAATCCTATTTGCCATAGTATTTGGCCTGCATGTATCTATTTACATGAATATGATGATGATCAATTCTCAATAAAGCATGCTTCAAATTATGGCAAGTAGGATTGGATTATAGGGGCATTGAATCCAATAATTTGACAACCTCTGTCATTTGGGGTCTATCTTTCTGTAACTCACTAGTGCACATACAAGCAATATGTACATACTCCCTAATGCTCTCTTCCTTTAACTCTTCTTTTCTTGGAATATTTACATCCAGCATCTCCATTTCAGTGTTCCGTTCCTTCATCTTCCTGGCCCAATTAACAAGCCCAATATCGGTTCCGTCCAATTTCACTGACAAATTGGGCCTGTGGCCCGCCATAGTTTCAATCATCAACACTCCAAAACTATACACATCTACTTTCGGGTATGCTACATTAGACCCTTGCCAATACTCTGGTGGCATGTAACCGCTAGTACCCGCCACCTGCGTTGACACGTGCGAATGTGATTTATCCATCCTACGTGCGAGCCCGAAATCAGCTATATAGGCCTGAAAATCAGAGTCCAACAGCACATTGCTAGCTTTGATGTCACGATGAATAATGGGCTTCTCTAGCCCGTGTAAATAGCAAAGCCCGTGAGCAACACCTCGCATGATGTTGACTCTTGTTTCCCAGGGTAAAGGAGAACGAATTAGATCGGTTGAAGTTGAAACGTCGTCGTTTTGGTGAGTAGATGAAGAAGATTCGTGAAGCCACTGATCTAGGTTTCCTTTCTCAATGAACTCGTAAACGAGTAACCGTTCAGGTCCCGAGGCCCAGTAACCGAGGATCTTGACGATGTTTTGGTGACGAAGCTTGCTTAGGGTTTCCATCTCCGCCGCGAATTCTCGAAAACCTTGGAAGGCGTCGGGGGATAGTTTTTTTACGGCGACGACGGTGCCGTTGGAGAGACAAGCTTTGTAGACGAGACCGAAGCTGCCGTCACCGACGATGAGGCTTGCGGAGAAGTCATTGGTGGCGCGGGAGAGTTCTTCCATGGAGATTTTGAGATTGGGGTCTTCTGACCAGCTGGCGTCCACCGGGAGGGAGTTTGAACTGCTAGGATAATGACTTGGGTTTCGAAGTGGCTGGGTTCGGATCTGGTTGTTGCGGCGGGATTGGGTGATTTTGCGGTGCTGACAGACGAGTATGATGGCAGCGAATATGATTGTGACGACGATGAAGCTGCCGATGGCAGCAAGGAGAGCTTCGGTGACGTGATCCATAAAAGCAGAGAGAAAGAATGAAATGATTGAGAGAAAGAAAAAAGGGCATGAATGGAATTGAATGGTGTGTAGTTTAAGTGGAAAGAATAAGGGTTGGTTTCGTGGAAGGTGATATTTGTGAGAGAGTTGACCGGACTGGTCAACTCATTTTGTTTGCATCTCTAGACTAAATCATTCATAGTCTGTTATGTTTCTTTTAATAAATAAATACATAACTTGACTGGGAGCAAATATGATCTGTAATTAGTTAGTACTATTTGACTTTAGACCCTCAAATGAAGGAGACTGGGAGAGGAGAGGGAATGGGTGAGTTTCCCTGTATGTACTGATAGAATTTCTTGACAATGTCAAAATTATTAGTATAACCAAAAAAAGAATAGTAACACAAGATTTCAAAATTATACTGTAATGAACAAGATTATGATTTGTTTTCTCAAAGTTGTCCATATGTTATGTGAATCGTCGATTACAGATTAGATTAGGGTGAAATGTGATAGGAATTTCAATCAGTCAAAAGGTTAATTTTGTTTTCATTATCTACTTCGGTAGCTTTTGCTTGGCCGGGTGCCTTTTGAGCAGTACAAGCAACATTTTTAACAATTGATGAGTAAAGATCAAACTCCGCCTTCAGTTTTAGACAGCATGCTTGAATCCACTTCTCAGCTACCGTTGTAGATACACTGTCTTGGGTATCCCTCTCGTGTTCTTCAATGGCAGGTCGTATTTCGTTGTATAAAGAATCAAGAGCATCTGTGGCGTCGTCTTTTCTTTTCTGCATGGAAAATCTTCAAATGTGAGATGAACATAAAACCAGACATGGAGATATATAAATGACATTCACATGCCCCATATAATGAAATGACAATGAAGCATTTTCAGATAAAGCAATTACTGTGGTGATTCTTGACATATACAAGCTATGCCTGATAATTAAGTTTGGTTATAATGCTACAATTGATGTTCTTTTAGTTAAGGTAAAATGATGTGTGCATTGTGCAGAAACTGTAACAGATCTATGTTCATACAAATTACTCTTTCTTCATAAATTATAAGTCACTTTAGAAATGATAACAAAGGTGCTCCATATCCACCATGAAATGATAACTACATTCTAAAAATATCTTTTTTGGAAGTAATAAGTTAAAATATCAAGGTAACTAAGATTTAGTTCATTAATAGCAAAATTTAAAGCTAGGTGATAATATTCAGCAATACGCACTTAATAGAATGCATGTGAACATCATACCTCATAATCTAAGATCTCTTCTTGTGCCTCCTTTGATGCTAAAAGGCCAGCTGCATATTTTGCATCAACTTTCTTCTGGATGCGATTTTTAAACTTTCCCCCACTCTGTGCCTTTGATCTTTTAGTAGAGATGGACCTAGGTCCAATGCGATAGTTTCTTCCAGCAGTGTTACTTCGAATGCGTGATATCATTGTGTTCTTTTGTGGAAGGTCGTGTTCGGTATCTTGGGAGTACAACTTCATGTCCTCGCTTACTATTTCAGTTTTAATATTTTGAACATCTAAATCCTTGATCTCAATTGAATCGACTGGTTGAACATTAAAAGCAGTGGAATCTGAAAGTTCCTCAACTTTGACTATAATATCCATGGATTGTTCACTTAGTCCATCAGTATTTGACATCGGTTCATCCTCCGCGGAGTCATATAAAGGAATTTTCTCAATTGAGTATCTGTAGTCAACAACATAAACAAAAACTTTTAAAACAACATATCACAAGAAATAGGAAATGAAGTAACCATGCAAAAAAGACCAAGTAAAATTAGAATAAAGCTTTGGTATTGCTTTTATGTTTTATACAATGATCTGATACTTAAAAATAAAATAAAAAAATAAAAAAAACTAAGCACAAAATTGGGTTCATATTCAATCAAGCACAGGTTCCTGTGCAAGGATTTCATCATTGTGGAGTCTAGAAGCAGGGAAGGATTGAGATAGACAAAGACATCCAAGTTGCATCTGTAACAGATAGAATGAAAGCTTCCTTTTAGAGATGAATACGTCCTAAAAAAGAATAAATTATAAATTACCTGTCATCATCATCTTCCCATAGATAAGTATCCTCCTGCTCACAGATTTTTCCCAACATGAGGAAGAATAGATGATTAAAACCAATCATAATCAATGAAAAAGAGAATGAAATGAAAAAAGGAAAAAAGGAGGGTAAGAGCAAATACAAAAAGCAGAAAATGGATCTTAAAAACCCACGGTTAAAACTCACTTGAAAACCACGAGATTTTGCTCCAAGGAATCCAGAACATTTGAGTGCACCACAGAGGCAGCGAACCTTAGCACCTCCAAACCATTCAAAATTATAGTCATATGCCAATTCAGTTCCAATAGGAATATCATGCCTTGCAAATATTCCAACTCTTATTTCCCCCATGACATTCCATTTTCTTGTCTCACAATTTGGTTGACTGCAAACATAACAGAGTTCAGTTGATGCCAAACCTTGGGCAGTGGGAAACAGAAGGATAACAAAGCAGGTCTACAATATTTGCATATATAAGCAGGTCCATTTCACTTAATCATAGCATTTTTGTTTGAAGTGATTTACCAGGAATGATTAATAAATCTGGCAATGCTTCCCTTTCTAGTTGCATCAATGGATTCAGATGCATTAAGAGAAATGATATACGCATCCTTAAGACCTGCAAAAGCAAACAAAAGTTTTATTAAAACAGAGTTAAATACTAGTAATCAGATAGAAGCATTGATTTTATTGACATTTGACCTTGACTTTCATATGTATGGGATCTGCGTTTGGCTTCTTTCCATGATATTACTTCTCCACAGTATTCAATGACAAACTGCCCTGCCTGCTTGAAATAAATAAATAAAAGAGTGGCACTACTGCAATAAAAAAATTACTAGAAAAATAGTCATGTTAAGGCAGAAATTCAATGACATTCATCAATTTTAGCAAGTTCCTTTTCTCCAAATTTCATAGGAATTCATTGTAAGATTACCTTAATGTCCTCATCAGCCAAAAGACCCCACCCTCGGCCTTCAGTTTTAAATAACTTTGTTTTTGCATACTCACACTTTTGAAATTTCTGCAGGCAGGAGATATGGGACATGAATATATTTAATCTAGAAAAGAGAGAGAGAAAATGAGAAATTTTCAAAAGGTTGTACAGAGAAACCGAACTGTTACTACCAACGGCTATTAACTAACTAGTTCATTGATAACTGAATATCAGTTATGCCAGTTAAGTTAACCTACTAGAAACCTTTCTTGGTACCAACAGTTAAAAACTCTTTCAGACTTAGGCTTGTATGCCTCAACGTGTAATGTGACGCAAAGTTTAAGTAGGTGAGAGGTTAAAAAAACATGCAATGAAAATATGAAATGAAATAGCTCAAGACAGGTAAACTTGAATGCTACTGAGAAACTTGTAGGACAAAATAACTGTGGAAAGCAGAATATAATATGCAACAAATTATGACAAGCACCCTTGGAGACACGGGTAAAAACAAATAGTAATAACTAATAACTTCTCTTTATCAACTTTCAATTATCTGCAGGATGGTTATAGTAAGAAAGACAAAAATATATCATTACATACAGACACAAACATAAGTCACCTGATTTTTACAGAGGATGCCACAAGGGCAATGACCAGGGGTGCATTCAGTGCTGGTTAATACATTTAGACACCCATCTGCACAGGCACTGTAAGGGTCATCTTCATTATACCTACATTCACATACAGCAATATCCTCCTCCTTCTGCTTCTTATGCCTGCACAGAAATAAAGAGAAGTGCAAATGCATTACTATACTTGTTAGACATTAGATTATACTGGATAGCAACAAAGCAAATTATTGGAAAACTTTCTTGAATACTGGTATCCATTATATACTTTAAAAAAATAGGAATAATGTCAGGATAAGAACAATATTGAAGCAACGACTTTGTAACATTTAGCATTCCATTCACTTCCCCTACAACTTTCAAATAATGAAATGGTAACTTTTCTCTGTTCCAGTGTTAAATATCCATAAAAATATACGGTAACTCAATTCATTCTATCCAATTCAAACTCACTATAAAATGTCCCACAAGGCCGAAGTCAGCTGCATCTTCTAAAGAGTTTACTCTTTATGGCTATTAGAAACAAGAAAATTTAGAGAACCTGTTAACTCAATTGAAAGCTAAAAAAAGAGACATTTCAGCATGTACAATTTAGTTGTATTTGCCTTATAAAAATGTAGAATTCTCCAAAGAGGTTTCAGTTTCACCACAGATCAGGCATAAGTGAGGGGAAATTGATAGCCCATAAGAAAGATGGTGTTAACTTTGTAAAGCTATCCAGATATTCCTAGCAAGAGTTTGCATCTACCTTCTCTATAAGCATCTATGAGCTTATGAGGACTTTTTGCATAAGCGTAACCATAACCTTAACGCAATTGAGAAGCGAAGCTCCCAGAAGAGAGAAACTAATCCAAAACGGACCTAATTGAATATGGAAAAGTTTCGGGCAAAGCAATATCAAACCATCGATACGAATGAGAAAAGAAGATGCATAATCACTTTTATTGTTCCAATCCTTGATATATAGAGTAAAACGGACTTGCTTCAGATAGTTTGATTTTTTTTCATTTACAACATTAGTTTTAATAAACACGGTGTTGTCAATTGCAGAAAGCAGAAAATAGCGAATTGTTAAAATTCTGCTATGCAATAGTGCTATAGTGCTGCTATTGTGACTATTTGACAACATGTAGTACTCAATAGCACATCGAGGAACAACAGCAGTTTGTCCAAATTCCATTTACTTCAGCAGTATAGCGGCTATTTAACAATGCTGAATAAACATAACCTTGTAATTACCACAATTCAATGCATTTCAGCAATTATAGGAGTTCTTTCAGCTTAAATTCATAAGATTAATAAGCACAAAAAAGGAAGATCGATTGAATGACCTAAATTATAATCAACTGGCGTTGAAATATACTGTAACCAGTTAACCACTAAGAAACGGAGTGGAAAACAAATACGGAGTAAGAAAATTACTAACCTTCGCATAAAAAAATCATTTTGATTTATGTTAATGTATTGAGGCAAATCTTCAATATGAGGATCCTTCAAATCAATAAAATGCTTGTTATAACTTGACTCAAACATGAACAAAAGATTGCAATAAAGAGGGAAAAGAAAATTACCATATGAATAACCTGAGGAAGTGAAGGATAGAGCTAGATTCGCCGCCGGTGAGAAAAGGTTTGAGGGTGTGAAACCTAAAACGGTAATGATCGAAGCAATTGATTTCCGGTGGAAACTAAACAACTGAACTGCGTTTGTAACTGTAGTGACTGCGGCACTTTCTTCACTTCGCTGTAATTAATTCAAGTTCTAACTTCTATGGACCAAAATATCCAGTTTTCTGGTTCTTTGGAAGAAAGAAATGGCGACCCAATTTGGTCATATAAACACAAATAAAATATTTTTAGACAAAGAATGAACTCAATTTGATCATACAGTATTATCTAAGTTTTCATCTAAAAGCTGGTTAATTATGCTGATTTGTATTTTAAAGAAGAAAAATGATATTTTGACATCATAAATAAAATAACTTAATCCCACCACCTTTAATGAAGAAGAAATACAATTTCGATCCTTATTTGGTAAAAATAGATTAGAAAGTAATTTATTCATTTTTAAATTAAGATTAATTGTTATGTTCTATCACTGTAAAAAGGTTTATATTGTTAATGTATTATAATTAAATAAAAATTAAAATTTTTAAATAAATCAATGTTTATGATTAATTAAAAATATAAAAAAAATTTATATCGTTCGTGCATATCAATTAAATTCATTTAAATTTATTAATTTTTTTATGAATTCAGGTAATTGAAAAAATTGGATCAAAATTAAGTTTAAATATATTATTAAAATGAAATATTGTTTATGAGTATTTTGATCTTTAGAAAAATCAAATATATCTAAAACTCAAATTAATGTTGAGTAAGCATAACTTACTTCCTTTCATATTTGGAAGAGGTTTTGAAAATTAATCTCACCTGATTAGAAACGAATCAGTAGTCTGTCACGCGTCGTGAGCTCCTGTGTTCACTGGCGTTGTAGAGGAGGAGGGGGTGTATCTACAAGGTACTCTAATGCTTAAGTGGATAATGGAGTTTTAGAAAGAGCAAGTACAGAGAGAATAGGTGTAGAGGGTATTTATAATGTGCCCCCGGCACAGGGCCAACGATTACATTGCCTTAGAACGGATTATCAAGCCCAACATAAGTAACTGTCATGGCTCACGTGACATAGGGAAGATTAGCATGTGGTCTTCGCTCTGCATCAATTTCCCCATGATCTTCGTAAGGTGGGTTGACCAACTCTTACGAAAGTGGGTAGTTGCCTGACGTGTCCTCGCGTGGGGGGCACGTGGAGTCCGTGGAAAAAGCGCGTAAGCTCTCCCCGTGCAAGATAATGCTCTACCCGATTGAGGTGTATGCCCGACTGAGGGGGATTGGGCCTTATTGAGCCTCATTAGCGTAGTATTGGGTTGGGCATGCTCAACCGAGAGGCAGGTCTCAGCCCAACCCAGAATAGGAGCCCTTCAAGTCGTTGCTTCTAAGTAGATGAGTAATGACTTAAGAGCAAGTCAAGGTGTCGAGGACCAGTTCAAAAGATGGTAGCTTGCCTGACATATAGAGTTGAGGGTCGTGTACGCGGCTAGGAGCGGAGGATGCTCGACGAGATAGTATGTCGAGGAAGTTGAAAGCGAACGGACGTGCTTGATCTCCGAGCACGAGGGGAAGACGAACAGGTGTGAAGCGTCTGGTGATGCCACGTGTTAGGGAAATTAATGCCTAGGGCGACTAGGGATAGGGGCACTCAAGTTCCTAGGGACGCCTCGAGTCCCGTGTTAGGTTTATAAATAGGGGTTGAGTCCATTTCAGTCTTACGTTTTCCTTCTTCTGTTCAAGACGTTCTCTCTTCCCTTTTCGCGTTCATCCTCTCTCTGTTCCAAGACGTTTGTCGTCCGCCGTCGTCTCGTCCTCCCAGAGTCGTCGTACCAAGTAAGTCACCGCCACTTTACTCTTATTTTTCCATTTTCCGATGGTTTCTCCGGTGGACTTGATGAGGGTCCCGAGAAAACTGTGAAGTTTACGGGAAATACGCCAGAACTTCTTTGAATTTGTACCTTTTTTTTACGAAGCCCCCGGGGAGGTAGGATGAGTGATTCGAGGACCTAATGAAGGTCTCGGGGAGTCGGGATGAGGTTCCCATGGACATAAGATGAATGTCTCGAGGACCTGATGGAGGTCTCGAGGACCTGGGAAGGGATCTCCGGGGACATTAGAGTGTCGAATTCACTTTTTCCTCTGCTTTTCAGGTAAATATGGTTGCATGGGTTGAGGGGGTCGTTGATATTGACGACAAACCTAATTCTCCGGTAGTGCAGACCAGCGAGGAGCAAAAACCGACTGCCGCGGATTGGGCCGGGAAGGAGCCCCTGAGTATTTCTTCTTGCTTTTCCGTGGATGAATCTGACGCCTATGCCACAGTCGAGGACCGTTGTGATGGTTCCCCGCTGAATTGGCAGGTGTATAAACCCCGAGCAAACCATTAGATATGTTTGGCTTTTAAAGGGATAAGGTTCCCTATGTATGAATTTACTTTTCGAGAAGCGGTCTTGCGTCTTCCATTTACTAATTTCCAATGGGGAATGTTTGACTGGATACGGCGGGCGCCCTTGCAACTCTACCCCAACACGATCACGTTCTTGCGGGCGTACGAGCTCGTCTGTCGGTATCTCAACGTCGGGACCACGCATACTCTTTTCTTTCACATCTTCCATCTTCAACGACAAACGTCTGAGGGTCGACACAGTTGGGTGTCCTTGAAGCAGACAAGGAGACCGTTTTAAGCATATCTAGATTCCATTCACACTTTCAAATACCAATACTATGTTGCCAAGCTCGTCACCCATACGGCCGTGGACTCGCTTTTTGACCTCGTGGTCTTGGAGAAAGACGGGCAGACAGAGGAGGTCTTAGTGTTGAATTTCCCGTTGTCATGGACGGAGGAACATTTTGACAACGGCATGAAGGTTGATTATCCTCAACTCTAACGCGGAGGTTCTTCGGGAGTCGCGGTTGATTAACACGAAGGCCCTCCTCGAGTGTGGTCTGAGGAGAAAGCCTTGCGGTTTTTAGGTAATGGATCTGCTTCTCGCTCGGGCTCTCTATGTGTTTCTGCTATTGGTTTGTGGTTTGCTTACTTGTTTATTTTTTTCTTTTGCAGGCGAAATGTCGAGCATGCAGGAACGTGTAAAGAAGTTGGCGGCCAGCAAGGGTGGAAAGAAAGTCGGCAATGGGCGAGTCGCCCAAGTACATCAAATGCCCGGTCCTGACCATAGGCCCAGAGGCTCATTCTCTTCCCCCCAAGGCAACCTGTCTCCATCTTCGCAAGGGACGTCAAAAAGGTTGCGGGTCAGTGAGCCCAAGACTATCAACCTTACTGAGGGTAATGTTGAGGAGAGGTTCGTGCTCCCGTCATGCTATCTGCAGTCCGGTTTCTTCTGTGGGGAAAATCACCTTGATTAGATACCAAGGTTGTACTTTTCTTCTTTTCAGTTTTCTCAATAATTTCCAATTCAAATGTCTGAAGATATCCCATGAGTTCATCCATTTTCACGGTGTTTATATCTTGGGCTTCTTCAATTGCAGTCACCTTCATATCAAACCTCTTTGGAAGAGATCTTAGGATTTTCTGAACCAACTTAGCTTTTGGGATCTTTTCTCCTAGATCACTTGAAGTATTGTCTATATCAACAATGTTCATGTGAAAGTCTTGAATACTTTCATCTTCAAGTTCTCAAACTTGGTTGTAAGAAGTTAAAGTCTTGATGATTTAACTCTAGAAGTTCCTTCATGAGTAGTCTTCAAGATCTCCCAAGCATCTTTAGCAACAGTACAATTCTTTATCAATCTAAAGATGTTTTTGTCCACTCCATTGAATATGGCATTCAATGCTTTGGAATTGTCCAGAGCTAGCTTGTCATCTTCATCATCCCAGTCTTCCTCAGGATTTATAACATCAGTAATCTTACCTTGCTGATCTTTAATCTTTGGTGGATCCCATCCTTTGACCACAGATTTTCAAGCTTTACCATCCATGGACTTGATGAAGGCCACCATGCGTACTTTCCAATATTCATAATTGGATCTATCAAGGATGGGTAGCTTGTTCACTATTCCTCATTCCTTGTCCATTGTACTAGAAAGTAACTTCCTTGAATCTCACCCAGATACAAAGCAGGATGCCTGCTCTGATACCAAATGAAATTCTAGTATACAGATCTCAGATGTCCTAAGAGATGTCGAGACACTTGATCTCTTCTTAGAACAATGACAAGAAGAAGTACAATATAAACTTGCAGAAAGTAAATAAACACACAGATACTATTAACCCAGTTCGGTATACAATAACACCTACGTCTGGGGGCTACCAAGCCAAAATAAAATCCACTAGATAGTATTAATTCTAAGCTAAACAACCTCTGGTTTATAACTTATCACTTAATCATTACTTGTGCTTAATTTCTACCTAAGACTCTTCTAGGTATGAGACCCTCCTCAATTCCCTTTTAATCACAATAATGACAGAAATTACAACTCAATGCAAATAGTACAGTTCTAGTGTCAACACGATACAAGAGAGGCTCACAAAATACACAAACCTTAGAACTCACTAAGAAACAATGTGTTTTTCACACCATGATTAGGTTAAATCCATCATATTTATAACCATAAACTTGACTGGATTTTGGCTTTAAAAACGCAACAATTCTGTTACACATAATCTGCAACTTATTCTCCAAAAGAATAGTTTATTCAATCCAAAGTTTTCTAAATTGTCTCCACATTTAGATAACAACGTCTTTAGATTCCAATAGAATCTCTGATTCCTCAATCTTGAATGCCACCTAGGATAAACAAATATTCTCATAATATTCTGAAATTTGGAAATAAAGTAGCAGTATTCAAAACTGCAGAGTAATAGACAAGGATGTCGAATCATCATGATAGGACATCTTGTCCAACATCTTGTTCTTCAGTAGGTTCTTCAAGTTAAGACATCTTGTTTAACATCTTGTTGTCAAGTTAGTTTTACCAAAATTAATTTCAATCTCAAAAGCTTGGAC